CCACACTATAGGGACTGCAGGCACTGGGCTTTTAGTAAATTCTTGCAGCTTTGTTGTACAGAAATAAGAGGTTTTTAACTGGTGTAAACAGTAAAGCTGTTTAAACAGCTAAACAATATCTCTCTGGGATATTAAGATCCTGGAAGATGTGAATTAAACAAATTTTGAATAGCCTTTTTTCTTTTTTTTTTCTTTTCCAGGGCGGGTTGGGGGCAGTGTTTCAGTTGTGAGAGAGAGATCTTTTCTGTAAAAGCAAAATGAGGAGAATGAAAAAAATTGTGGAGTACAGTGGTCAGGAATATCTGCATGAGGGATACAATGAGAAGGCAGTGAACTGAAAGATACTGCTGAGCTTTTCTGAGGTTAAGATAATTTGATGCAATATTTCCTTTGGATGCCTCATAACAACTGAATTAAGATATAGCTGTGCAGCTCACAGTCCATCTGTATGTTAAGAACTCTCCTTTAGGAGTATTCCCTGATTGCTTAGGAGATTGTTTGGAAGAAGATGGCCTCTTTCATTTAGAAAAGCTTTTAAAGTTCTTCTGAGTAAAGTTCCACTCTGAGAAATTATCCTCAGCAACAAGAACCACAAAAAAATATCACTTTGGGGCTGCTTAGGTAGGTGCACTCAGAGCATGGGAATTGGGTCAGGCCAACTAAATGAAGTTGACATCAGCCAGATCTTTCTTAGTTTGGTGTGTGAGCATTAAGCATGTGAGTTATAGCCAAGCATTGTGCTGCACCAAAAAAAGCTTCATAAGAAAGATCACCTTTAAACTGGCCTGTCCCTGTGTGGGGAAGTTCTTACAAAATGATGGCTTGACTTGTGCACAGTGTGGATTTAATACAAAGTAGAGAAAGGAGCAGGAGCCTTTCTCCATCTGCAGAATATTTGCTAATTAAGCTTTAGCAAGGGCACACCTGAGTGTGCAAATGAAGGTTAATGGGATTGAGCAGGTGTAAGACCTTCATTTGACTTGCAGAGCTTTAGTCAACAGTGCAGAAGACTGACAGAAACCAGTTCATCTGAGCTGAAATGAAAGCTCCAACTACTTTCCAGCTCAAGCTAAGCAAACCTGACATGGAAATTGGAGAGATGATGAATGCACAAAGCCACCCTACCTCTCATAAACTGATTTTTTTTTTTTTTTTTTTTAAGAATTCTAAAATTTCTGCTTTCGGCAGAGAATCTGCTGGGAAAGTTCAGTGTTTGTGACTGAGCAGGGTACATCAGTGCTTCTCGAAACATCAAGGGAAAACATATATCTTAGCAGTTTTATAGCAGTTATAGCAGTTTTATTTGGTTCTCAATGGCCTCCAAACTGTGAAATGGGTGGAGTGATTTTGTTGATTTAGTAACAACAGAGGTGCTAATGGATTGGAAAGAAACTTTTGGAGTCACTGTCTCTTTCATGTAGAATATGGGGGATCACCTTTGTGCTTCCTTTCCAAAGTCATTCCTGTCTCAGTAAAAGGTACTAAGGTTTCAGTAAAACATACAGGTTCCACTAATCAATTAAAGTGGTTCAGTATTGCAAAATGGCCACACATTTCAGCTTCTCAGGTTGAGAAGGTACATGACTTCTGTTGGCACTGATGGATAAAAGCACATATTTATGAAAATAATAATTTAAAAAGTCATTTTTGAAGGGACCTCACAAATTAATCTATTCCAGTGATGAATATTGGAATATTCCTGCTCAAAGCAGGGATAACTATGAGGTCAGACCAGATTTCTTAGGGTGCTGTCTGCGAGAGTCTTGAATATGGTCAAACCAATGTTTGTAAAGCAAAGAATCCCTGTAGCAGAGCCTTTATTCCTTATAATCAGTATTTTGTTGCTCATTAACAGCAGATGCCTGAAGAGTTATTCTCAGGCATCTGAGAATATGTTAGTGTTGAAAAGTTATATCCCATGTCACACAGGTGGGATCTTCCTCGACCTGAATGATGACAGGAACTGAATTGTTTTGTGGTTCTTGAGTTGTTTCAAATTTAAACCCCAAAACTTTGTGATTCTGACATTATTACATGTTAATAAGGAAGTGGAGACTTCTGCAGCTTGGTTTATGATTGAGATTAACCAAGAGGAGGCAAATTTATTTGTTTACATAGAGTAAGGTGTAAACATTATTTGTAGGGGAGCTCCTTCACAAACTTGGATTTGACAAAGTATTTGCAAACTTTATTCTGCTGCTTTGGATTGTTACTTTCCTCTGTCTTGGGTTTTTTCTCCTTATGGTCTCTGGTGCCAAGCCTTGGGAGGCAGGGGCTCTCCTCTAGCCAAGCTCTAATGTATTTCTTCTCAGTCTTGAAAGAGTAGGGAAGTGCTCCCTTCCATGCCTTTCACCCCTTATCTGAAAACTATAGATAATAGTTCCCCACACAGGTCTGATTTGACCACAGATGAATTGAGACAGTTGCTTTTCTAAGAGACAGAAATTGCACTTTGACATAATGTTTTTTATGACAAAACACCAAGTTTGAAGTTAAAACTTCTCTTCCCATATTCCTTGTTTAAAGAGTTTCGAAGGTACCTCATACTACAATGGCAAATTTTAATGCTATGAAACACAATTAGCGAGTCCTCTTTTTAGTTCTTTTAAGTACTCAGCCTCTTGGATAGAGGTTGCCAGCTCTTTTCCAGCTTAAGGATATATAAAAGACAGCTTGCAGTGTGAACTGGAGGCTTAAATTAGTCACGGAATCTCTTTTTCATGAGAAATTCACCATAGTAAATAAAAGCCTACAAGTGCATGTGGCACTGCAAGACAAAGTGGTCTGCAGTTGTGACAACTCTGCTTAGAATGTTTAATGAAGCTGCTTATAATAATTAATCATTGCTACTTACTATACCATGCATATACAATGTACATGTTGTCAGCATGCATATTGTATAGAGAGATATACATACAACACCTAATTTGAGAAAATCTGCTGAGTTTGAGTATTTGAAATCCTTGAGATTACTTATACAATGCTGGAAAATTGCAGGGGGTACTTTAAACATATGCTTCTGGAGCACAGATAGCATCTGAACTTTACTGGTAAGGTGAGTTTTCTGCAAGTGCAACAAGAACTTCCTGTAGAGATGCTCTATTTATTTCTTCCAATCCAAATATTACAAAAGAAGGGCCAGAATACATTATCTTCAGCATCTTATATTTAATATCTTTTATTCTAGGATTTGAGAGTGCTCTGCAATCATGAATTAAGCCTTTAAATACCTACATCAGGGGCTTCTGCATTTAATCTGTGAGTCACAGATGAGTAAAACTGAGTCACAAAGGGAATTAATTGCTCAAGGTCATACACTGTGTCAGTGAGCACAGACAGAATTAGAAAGCAATAGTTTCCTCTTTCTAATTACTGAGCAATTGTTTTTTAAGCTCTGGAAGTCAGTTTTCTGTCATTCCACAATGTCAAAATCAGTCTTTGCTCTGCCACCACTGAGAGAAGTTTCTAGAGGCAGATGGATTGTGTTTTTGAATTATTTTCTCCAAGGTTTTCCATACAGTTCATAAATGCTGTTATTTAAAGAATTGAAGAGGATTTTGTGGCCCTTGTATAGTGTTCAGTCACAGGGGGAAACAAGGGAACAATCAAGAAAGATAAATTTCTACGTTTTGCTAGGTAAGTTGTCAAGTTTTTCTAGGTAAGAAAGAGATTCAACTATCACACATTGAAGAATAATGAGCTATCTTTAATTGTTTTGGTGAGGCATCCTTCAATTTAATTGTCTATTATCTTTATCCTAATGGAGATGTTTGGAGACCTTCAGATTGCTATTACTGTTGTTTATATCACCAATATTGCTGCTTGATGCTGCTGTAGGAATTGCCATCCTTCAATTAAGGGTGAGATTTGAACTTGAAAAGCTGCTGTACTTGCGGCTATGTTTCTATATTCAGTATTTTTAAGGCAGATTTGAGCTTCCTTTGTCTGCCACTGCAGCTGGTTGTAAAGCTTTTATCTCTGTTGGCACAACACTGAGGCAAGGGAGTGAGTTTTCTGGGGAGGCTGGGCATGTTAGGCACAGCTCTGCACTTTTCTGCCTTCTTGCAGCCAGCACAGAGCACACACACGGGCTGGCACCCTGTGACACAGGCTGGGACACAGCTTCAGCTGTCACAGGTGTGTCCACCTGGCAGGGAGGGGTGTCCCACTGCCCTCACACTCAGAAGTGCAGTGCCATTAAAGCTGGGATGTCCATAGGGCAGGGGGGATAACTGAGTTTGTACCTTCCCTCTAATTGTCGTTGTTTAGCTTTCAAGCAAACAGCAAAAATTATTATTAGAATATTTTCTACTAAAACACACGAATTTGCAAGTAGATATTCTAATCATTTAGCCAGATTGGGTGGAGTTTATTGGATGTGCAAACTGCTGGCCTCCAGTGCAGGTTGCACTGAAATCCAGCTGTACTCTGAGATTGGAAGGAGGCTGTAAGTGAGCTTCTGGCTTTCTGTATGATTTTTAAGTTCATGCTGCTGCCCAGGAAGCTGTGATACACACAGTTGGCAGGCTTGGGCCTCTGACAGGCAGAGGCTTACTGAGCAAAGCTACGGCCATGTGTTTTTGCAGAGTTCCAGCTCAGTGGGGTTGCTTTGAAGCTGGTCTGCTCAGGGCTGAAGAGTGGGTACAAAAGTGGAGCTCTGAAGACCATGAGTTGATCAACACTAGACCAATTCTGTCTCCTCCAGGTTGGAACATGTGAAGGAATAGAATCTGATCCCCTGCTATGAAGAGGAAAAGCTCACTAGTGTCTGTCTCTGAAATAAATCCAAATGTGGATAGGCCACTGCATAATTTCTACATTAAAGATTAATTTCTAAAGAAACTATCAAATATTTTTATCGCAGGACTTCTGCAATACCAGTGGATATCAGCAGCCATCAATTCTTAGCAGCATAATCCTGGCATCTGAATTAACAGTTTCATTTTGCTTAATTCTGTTCTGCTTAATTCAGAAAGACGATGATATTAATATGTCGGTTCTTTAGGCATGCACTTTTCACTGTAAGTATGATTCTAGGTCAGTGTTGCCTGCTGTCATTATATTTGATTTTGTTTAAAGCTCCAGCTGGTGAAAACAGCTGATTACATGACCATGTCATCATATTTAATTTGTAATTAAAGTTTTAAGTCTTCTCACTGAAGAGATGCGCTTTAAAGAACTGAGCTGTCAAACAGTAAAAGTGAGCATCAAATATGACTGTACAGTATCTCATATTTTAGCTCTGTTGGGTATGCTGTAGGGTAGTTTGTATGCTGAGGCAGATCTCCATGTAGAGATATAGTGGGGGTAATGTTTTGCTCATAAATTTCTGCTAAAAATATATGATTTTTGAAGTTGTTTCTGGGAGAGATGATTAAATAAAAGAGGTGACAAAGAAGATACCATATGTTGCAGTAGCAAATCATGTGGTGGTGTCAGGACAATGTCCCAACACATGTATCCCTTGAGACAGAGTACATCTCTCTCTGGTTTCCCAATAATATATTTACAGCTGTGTGAATTGTCCTTCCTGGAAATTCAGCTGAAGGTGTCACTGAAATTGTCCCCTTTGGTTTATCCCTATCAGGCTTCTCTCTCACTTTCATTTTAGCCTTTTTCATTTTTAGAATTCAGAGTGTTCAGCTCTGCTCAGTCTGTAGGCTGTCCCTGGTCCTTAACAGTGAATGCTGACCTTCCTGCATGGTTCTTCTAAGCTGCTGGGATAACTGTGGGCACTGTGGCCAGTGGCCTTGTCATTCCACACTGAGGTGAATGCATGGGCAAATGTTGGAATCTCTTCATGTTCTGATCTTGTAACTCATTTGTTACCTCCTGCTGAGGCCAGGGCACCTGTGGCACCCTCAGTATTTGGGGGAAGAGGTCTCTGCTGTAGCCCTCAGGAAGGAGAGAGCCAAGGCTCATTAACACTCGGGGTAAAGGGGACTCTTCACTCTGAGTCTTGTCACCAGTCACTGCAGAGACACCTGCCCAATGTGCTCAGCACAGGATGGGCAAGAAACGGAAATCTTTTCAGGAAAAGATTTCCGTTTCTTGCCCATCACTGGCAGCCACAGTGGTGATTAGCAGAAACTAATGAAGCTGTGACCAGTGGCCTTGTAAGGGCATCAGCCACAAGGCCTCTGCTTTGGCAGTGCTGAGCACTGAGGGTCACAGCTCTCCTGCTCTCATGTTTTCCAGCCTCCCAAGTGTACTCCCCCTCCCCCTCGTGAATTATGGTCCCAGTGACATGGCCCCACTGTCCCCAGTGCTTCTTGCAGTGCAGAACTGGAAAACAACCCCATTCATTTGCATACAAAGTGTGCACTTGTCTGTTGTATTTGTCTGTTGGTATCTCTAGATGCCCAAGCTAGTCTGTCCTGTAGATCTGGCTGATACTTGGAAATTCTTAGGATGATAGAAAACATTTACAAAAGGGCATTAGCAAAGATTAAACTGAACAAGGCATGGTTTGTTTATAATGCTATTCCAAAATGGAAAGCCTACAGAAAGATGATGATTAAATGTTAAGTGATTGGGGTCTCAACCTGAGTCTTTATTAATCTATCTGACAGAATTTAGAGAAATTATTTTTTGTATTGACAGAATTTAGAGACATTTTTTTATGTTCCCTGACAAGTGACACCTTTTCCCCTACTGTAACTCCTCTGTTTATTCCTCTCACTTATACCTCACCAAAATAAAATAACAATTAAAAACAGCAGCAACAAAACTCCTAATCCCAGACACTGGAATCTCTAAGCTTTTTACCATGGCTAATCCTGTTTTGCCAATGCCTCTTGAGTGGTTTGACTCTCCCCCAATGTAAATGTAAGTGATTACTGTTAATGAACTATTTCCTTCAGTAGTATTAGTAGTTAGGGAGAGGCCATCAGATCTCATAATGCTATCATGCCAATCTTTGTCTAAAGCAAAACAGATCTTTCTTATCTTGTGCAAGTAGTTTTCCATGTGGGCAAGCAAGGACAATTTTTAGACATAAGCACATTCTTTTTTTTTTTTTTTTTTGATGGTATAAGTTTCTTTAAAATTAGTACAGCTCTAAAAAATATGAATGTCATATTAGATGATGGTCCTCCTTATGTTATTTTGCTACATTAAGCATGTATCTTAAAAGTTTAGTCATGGATTGCAGTGAGGAAGCCACATTGCTTATAAAATACCAGGCCTGCAGAGAGCCCAGTGTGAATATACTGAATTGCTTCTGGTACCTGAGGGAGCTTGGCTCTTTGGGCAGAAATGCAGGTTCCTGTATGTGCTGTCTTGTGCCCCAGTCAGGGGTCAGCAGTGTTTATGGCTAAGTGACTGCTGCCCCTTAGGATCTAATGAAAGTTCCATCATTTTAGCTGTAAACTGCTCTTAACTTTCAAATTTATTACCATGGTGTTTGTAATAAGATTAAATAAAGTTAAGAACCTCTATCTAACAGCCTTCTATTCAAGTATATTCCTTAAATTATTTAAAATGACACTATTCTTCTTGTATAAAATATAATTGTGTTTGGTTTTGAGTCTGGTGTTGTTGCAGAAATTCTGTGTTTGCTTTGTGGAGCAGATTATTGCACAGCAGGGCCAGAATGATGCAAATGAAGGAGAAAATTCAGGACAAAGACCTTGCAACCCCCTAACACTTCTCAGAAGTTGTCTTCTCTGAAAGGGCTAGTGCTGCCATGGAGGGTCCTGGTCAGCATCCAAAAATGTTGGTATGGATCAGATTGCTTAGCTTTTCCAAATTCCACATTTGCATGTTAGTGTTCTCATCCCTGAAACTGGCTTTAATTTTATAACTTATTTTGCAGTCAGATGCTGATTTTGAAAGCATAAAATTATGAAAAAAAAATTTTATTTTATGATCAGCCAAGTGAAGATGGGTGAAACAGCTGCAATCATTATTACAAATTGTCTTGACTTGTGGGTTGACCACTGGAGTTATATAAAGAAACAATAAGTGTGGAAAATTTAGAGAAGTGTCTGGCATTGCATGCATATTTCTGGTAAATAGAAACATTTCTCTGACTCTTCCCAAATTCTGTGGCTAACTTGTGTTGTTCAACATGTCAGGTGATTCTCACTGCCTCACTGTCTGTTAACTTGCTATAGTAACAAAGTACTAGATGAGGGTTCTTAAAAAACAGGGAAAAGGACTTTTTATGTGGGCAGATAGGACAAAGGGGAATAGTTTCAAACTAAAAGATGAGAGTGTTGTCAAAATTTCAATTAAAGTACATGTGTGGAATTGAAAAACACCGAAGGATTTTAGAATCATGGTTAATTTACAGTGAATGTCTTTCAATTGATATCATACATTATATTTAATATTTTGAGACTAAATTTACTGGTGCATTAAATAGGTCAAAACTTTAATCATAAGTCATAGCAAAATACACATTTGTTGCTTTAAAGTAGTTCAGTGGAATTAGTGAAAGCAGCCTAGATCCCCTCATAAGCTATCTGAAGCTAAGCCAAAAATAGTGGATGTTAATTCCATTTCTATCCTAATCCTTTCTCTGCTTGTCTAACAATTTTCTATATATTCATAGTAGAGTAACTGCCTCAAAAAATCATACTTTCTTATTTGTGTATTCAGGTGTGAATTTCATGTGTGAATTTCCTTTCAAATCAAAATCTTTCAGACAGACTCAGAACTTAAAATATATACTTTTGACTAAAATGCCATTCCTATAAATTATATTTTTACATTTTAAAAATGAACATTAAACCAAGCAGTCTGCTCTGCCCAGCACGCACAGAGGAAGTTGGTTTGGGTGCCTGTGTACCCACAAAATCAGTATGTTTCTACATGTTTCATGTGGGCAACCCATTCCTGATTAGCTGATTCACAAAATGCAAAGGTGTTGCATGGCTGTGACATTGAAGAGGTTCCATATTTTGAGGTTGGATTTTTAAGAAGTTTGGCACCTCGTTCTCCATACATGACCCAGCCCCTCACCGGCAGAGGTGTCAGAAGGACCATCCAGAGCTTTCTGCTTCCCAGCCTTTCCCAGAAGCCGTGGGCTGGACTCGGGGCTTGGTGGGAGGTCTGGCACCTCGGGAGGTGTGTGGGCAGTGTTGGGCCTCTTCTCAGGGGATTTTTGTGCACCCTGAGCAATCAGTGCCAGCAGTGCATGTGTGAAATGCAGAGTTTGGGCAGGCCCAAGGCCATAGGAGAATTGTTACAATTATGGTAGTGTGGAACACTGATCTGTCTGAGCAACAGTGTTCAGATGCTGTTGGGAGTAGCTGGTTAGAATATTCTATATGTTCATGTGTAATATATGTCACATTGGCCCATGATTGGTCATGGTTTCACCTGCAGTGGGGCAAAAATAAATTTCATCAGAGTTTTCTTTGGAGCTTTCCTTGCCAGCATCACCCTGGGTATTGCTTTCAGTGATGTCACTGTGTTTGGTCTGTTTCATCCATCTGAATGTGTTGTGCGTGAGGTGACAAATCAGTTTCAAATGCATCCCTTCTTTCAGTTGCAGAGGCTTCTGCAGTAATGTCCATTGCTACATAAAGAAAGCAAATAGAGCCTTGGTTTCTGTGTACACATATATACAGCGTGTTTGAATGCTGTAAACTTTGTAAGAGAGCACTTCAAACTTCCCACAGCCTTGTATAATTTGTAACAGGATATGTTTGAAGCTTCCTTTCACCTGAGCCTCAATATTTGTGTCTGAGGATTTCCATTAGTGAGTGTTGTTTCATGCAGGTGTGTGTGAGAGCCTTTGCAGGTGTTATCTTTTAAAGAGATTAAATGTAAGGTTTTCACCTTGGAGGCAGCTATTGCTCTGGTGTTTAATCCTCTTGACTCCTTTGAACCCTCTGTGGCAGACTATACTGATGTGCAGAAGTGACTGCAGGAGAGGTAACGTGTATGAAGGATGGGAATTCACCTTTTTTCTGCATACAGTTCAAATTGGAGCAAACCCTATGCTAGAGGATATTGCTGCTGGTCGCAAGTCCCTGATACACAACCCACAATGAGAATTTTTGTAAGAATGTGATTACGAATATTATTATTTTTTAATGTTGTCATGCTCAATTTAATTTCATGATGGAAAATAGCCAACACAAGTGGATTTCAGGTGATGGGAAAATTGCAGCCTGTTAGCCTGCCGACATTAACAATGGAAATGGAATTAATTACAAGCACTGATAGCTGCCTGGATCAGCTGTAGAGCTCTTGGTTGGCAGAGGGAGCAAAGGGCATGTTCTTATCTGTTACACTGCTACGTGACTCTTGAAGCCTGTAAATATCACTTTAAAAGGATCACGTATGAGAGTGTTGAATGTGAGCCCTTGCAGCCTCTGTGTCCTTGATGGTAAGAGTGAACTTCCCTGTTACATTTGCAGAGTGCTTTTGTTCACCATGTGTATGTACCTTTCCTGTTCCACACATTTATTTTTATTTTATTGATATAATGCACAAGAAATTGTGCAGGTTTCTGTCAGAGACCTGCTAAGGAGGCAGAGTGCATAGAATATATCTGAGGGAAAGTTGTCTAAAATGAGAAAATCTGGCTTTCACTCTCTACATCTGCACAACAAAATATCTGGTAGTACTTGGCCTGGAAGCAATACACACTCTCTGGATCTTTTTGTTCAACACAGTGAGTTCTTGTAGAAAAGACATATGTATTTGTGTGGGTAGATACAGATATATATGAGCACATTAAAATAACTTAGTTGTACAAATGTTGCAACACCTGTGTGACACCAAGGCAATATTTGTAGTCAGTCAGTGGAAGATTTGATTCAATCAGCAAAAATGGATCTCTAAATCTGGTGAGATTCAAAATCTTCGATCACAGCTCCCCTTAGATGTGAAGCTGCTAACATAAATTTTGACAATGTATAGGGTACTGCAACAACTGGTAGAAACAAGGGTTTTCTAAAAATAGAAACTACAGAGTCCACTATAAAAAAGGACAGAAGAACTGCAAGACTTTGGCTAAAAATTTTCTTCTTTCATTTTTACCCTGCCTCTGGTGTCATGAGTGTGCACCTTCTACAGCCAGCATGAACTTGTGGATTTGCAGCCTGAGAGCCCGGAGCACACACCCTTAACAGAGGCAGTGCTGAGTTGCAGATTCACCTTACAGAGAGAGGGGAGTTTCACCTCCAGCCTTTCACTGGATCCCTCTTTGCAGCCACCTCCTGTGGTGCCAGAGGTGAGGACAAGCTGGAGTGCTGCCCAGCATTATTTGTTCTGAGAGCACTGGCAGTGATCCTACACTGGCTGGGTAGAGGTCATTTCCTTGGGTTTCATGTCATCTCTGTCACAAGGGGTCAAAACAACTTTGTCCATACCTGCTGTGCACTTGTGTGGGCTTGGGGAAAACTGTGGACTAAAACAGTGATTCTCTTGTAACATGAAATATCAAGAAGCTTGTTAGGAAAGGTATGGGGAAAAGAGAGAACTTGTTCAGTTGTTGCAGCTTCAAGGTTTAAAAGCTCCATCAGTGACTGGATAACTTCTGAAATTATGATGTCAAGAGACTAAAAACTAAACTTTTTTTTTGTTTTGTTTTGATGATATGGTTAATATAATTGGCTTAATGACCACTGTGGTGAAAAACTATCTAGTTTAAAAATAGTTCTGTCTTTGCTTAAGGTACATGACATCTCTGGATGTCCCAAAAATGGTTCTAGTGAGTTTGGGGAGATGATACTTGGTAATCTTGAGATAGTTATTGTTAAAATGTAGAAATCAAAGATGATTTTTATCTCTTGTGTTTTATGAATTGGACAAAATCCCACCAGAATTTTAAAAAATCCTGCACCTAATTTAGGGAAAAGCTCTCTGGGGAAAGGGAAGATGGAAACTGACTGTTTCTAAACACTTAGACTAGAGTAGTGTACTTTTTAGAAAGTACTTGTGAACTGTGAAAGAAGCCCAAGCAGAAGGTCAGTAGTGATTATAGTTTCCAGGACATTTATTTTCTACTTAAATTGTGTCTTTTCCACCATTTCTTGCAGATCTCTCTTTTTTGCCATGTCATCTGACAGCCACCAGCTCCACACCCATTGTTACCAGGACTCACTAAATTCTACTTGTCCCAGTCTCTTGAATGTCAACAGTCATCCCCTATCCAAGAGCTCCTCAAACCTGACCTGTATTGGGCACTCAAGGAGTTTCGAGGAAAGGCAAAACAAACAGGAGCTGAAGAAAAGCTATAGTAGCACCATCTGCCATATCCTGGAAAACAGGAGTGATGCAAGGAGCGTGCAGAGTCCTGGATGGTCCTCCTCACAGCCTGGGATGATGGGACTTGGATCAGAGGTGCAAACCATAAATGACCAGTCAACCAATGACCATTCAGAGGGAAGAACTAAGTATACAAACCATGTTCTTGTCACTGAACAGTCCTCAGTGTCCTGGGGAGTGGGGGACACTAGGATGTGTGTAAAGAGCAGCACTACTGAAAATGTTTCTTCAGCTTGCTTTGTTCACCAGCAAGGCATGTGTAAAATGGAAGAATCAGGAACTGCCCTTCAGAGAAGCCACTCAGACCTAACCTGCAGCTGCAAACAGCAGATTCATGTCACTCACATAGAAACCAGTGCTACTTACTCCAGCCTAAGCCCTTCTGGCTGCAGTCATAGTCTGCCAGTGGCTAGGATGTCTGACCAAATGCAGAGATACGGATCAGAAACAAATCAAAATACATCTCACTATCAAAACCTTGTGACTCATCTTCCAGTCCTACCTAGAGACCAACAAGTACCCACAAACACCTTTGACAGTGGCAGTATTCCACGTAACACTACTGTTTACACAGATCCTGGCACATTTCACGCTGCTGTTCTGGGACCCCACATGCCTGGAAACAGTTTCCCAAACAGGACAACGTTCAGTCAAGCCCCTGGGATTATTCATGGGGGTCTGACTTATGGTAACATTCCAAACTCTGTGTACTCCCCCATGGCGATGACAGTTCACAACAACTCAGCAGGGCCCTGCAGTCTCAGGCAGGACGCCCTGAAGGCAGATGCCACCATCCCGGCCTATTGCCACTCCTTGCCCATCCCATCCATCCAGCTCGTGCCACGGTTGGTGTGCTCCGTCAGTGAGACAGGAAACGAGCAGGCAGCACCTGGCTACTTTCATTCCTTTTCTGCTTCAGACATTTTGACATATCCCAAGCTGGTGTCTTCAGTAAGTGAATCAGGCCTGGATGCCAAGAAAATCCTGAAGTGCTGTAACATTCCTGGAGAACAGCTGCAACCTGCTCCACAGGAGAGAGCCCCTCCAGAAGCCAAGGCTGCCCATGTTGCTCTGAGCAGCCAGCAAGGTGCAGACATAGTAGTGACAACTAAGGATATGTGGACTATGACCTCTATGAATGACATAACCAAAGGCCTAAAAGCAGCTCTGGAGTGCAGAGATGCCGAGGTACAAACTCTTCCAACCATGGAATGCAAATCAGTGGCAACAAGCCCAGCAGCTGCAGCAGAAGGTCACTCACACGTGTTCCCAGAGGTGAACCTGGAACAAGGCTCGGAGGCCCCCAAATCTCCAGTTCGCGAAGTGCGATGGGATGATGAAGGAATGACATGGGAAGTGTATGGGGCATCTGTGGATCCGGAAGTCCTTGGGGTAGCCATTCAAAAACATCTCGAGTTTCAAATAGAACAGTTCCAGACAGAGCCTGCTGAGAAAAGCAATAAGGAGCCACCCCCTGAAAAAGCTGGGAAAAAAAGGCCTTTCAGAACAATGATGCATTCCCTGAGATATCCAAGCTGTTGTGCTCGCTCCAGTACTGCAGTGGAGTGAGCACAGCTGTAGGCTGTAGGATTGCTGTGCTGCTTTTAAATTGTACATAAATGCTGACTCTTAAGTGCTAACACAGTATATGTGGACAGCCCACATCAGGATGAGAGGGAAAACTTCAGTGAACATCAAATATACATTAAAGCAAGGAGAAGTCCATGGCTGGACCAGATAACAGAGAGCATAAGAATATACTTAAATAATGCCATCCAAATGCTCTTGACTGTATTTAATGTAGCACTGATTCCTTCTATGTTAGTTTTAAACTGTATTGTAAGGAATGGAACTTCTTTTTTAATTATACATTTTTTAAAAATAATGATAACTTTTTTCTGTATTTTAATAATTTAGGGTTAGAAAACAAAGTTTAAAAATTATGCTTTAATCAAAGTTCTTAGCTTTCAATCACACCCTTAAATTGTTTTGGCAGCTGTTTTGCTGTTAATTTAATAATCCTGAATATAAGCCCACTTTAACTGTAGAAAAAATAACAAACTAGTGTAATGTTCTATGACAAAGAATTGTAACTTTTTTCTACATAACTGTGAAGTAATTTTAGTGTTGCTGGTCTGAACTCTTCCCTTAGCAAGCTCATGTACAGTTGGAGGACACTCCATCAACTTTCCAATTAGTTTGTAGTTACGATGAATTACACTCTGAATATCAAGAACTTATGTTTACCAAGTGATTGACACAAATGTACAGTATTACCAAAGATGACTGATGTAATGTGAATTGCTTACTGAATGCTTGTTTTAGAGACCTGAGATGGAAGCTGTTCAGATTAGTCTATGGCAACACCATACCCTACAACTCACAAGCAGTTTCGGTTTGTTTATATTAAAAGTAATTTCCAGTAAGTTCTTTTTATGTGCATCTATCCTGAGCAGTGGTTATTTGGCTATTGCATAAGCCACAGGGGACAGTTTGCACATAACCTTTGCCTGTCTTGTGTTCCCTCTCTGGTCTGACGTCAGGCGTCTGCTGAAAGTGAGACTTTGTGTCTTCCCCAAAGGACAGTCCTAAGATTATTCCGAGTGCCTTGGTCATTTGGGCAGCTTAAAGATTTATTTTCTTCTAGAAACAACTTCACAAACAAGTTTTCAGTGAGAAACTTGTTACAGTGTAATGCAGCCAACATGCAGGGCCTGTTTGAAGTAAAAGATTTGTCAAGGAAGCTGAGAATTCTATTTCTAGTGTCATATGTGCCTTTGGTGAATGGCTGAGATTCTTGGGGAAACGAGAGGTGCAATTTTTTTTTTTTTTTTTTTTTTTGTGAGAGGGAAGAGAAACATTCATTTCTGTCTCAAAAGAAAATTTGCAGTGTCTGAGAACTTACTGCTGTGCAATTATGGACTTCTCTTTAAATGTGTGTGGTTGTGCTTTATTGGTTTGGTTTGGTTTTTTTTCCAGAAAGTTAGCAGACTGACACCATAATGTTCACCTGACATTTGCATACCAAGAGGAACCCCTGGTGATTAGGAGAGCTTTAAACTTTCATCTATAAAATCCTTAAATGTAGGACCTCCTAGTTGGAATGACCTGTGATGCATTAATTTAATGATGTAGAGTAGTTCAAGATCAACTTTTCACTCCTGGACAAAGCGGGATTTAATAAGCTGGCTCCTGTGAAATTCACCTTGCATTCAGGAGGGTTCATTCAGACCCTGGGACTTTGGCCTTAGAGAGGTCTGAGCTCAAAATTAGTTTTATACAAACCAAGTGTGAAGCCACTGGAATATAATGCCTTACTCAGGATGCCTCTATAGCTGTGAACATCTAAGTTCTGCTAATGATTCTGAATGTTAAAATTCCTTTTATTGAAGCTTTAATTGGAGTAAGGAAGTAATGAGTAACTAAATAAAATTACTCTGCTGTTATTTAGAGTTTAGTTAAGCAGTTTCTATACAGGCTTATTTTATGGTCCAGAATATTGAACATTATTTTTTTCCCTTTCTTCAAACATTACACTTTGAGAATTTTAAGTACTATAGTGGTCTAAAACCTTGTGCTGTCTGTTAGATTGTCCTCACATGTACAGGAGAATTAAAGATTTGAAGAGTCAAACTAAAGCTTTAAAATAGCAAGAGTACCTTCCAATACTTTATATCCATACTTTATTTGACATATGGAATAACTGTATTCTCCTTCCCACCCCTGTCGTTCCTAGCACCTCTCCAAAATAAAGCCCCCAGCTGTAGGAAGATGATATAAATAAGACCAGTATCAAACTGGTCAGAAAGAGAGATTTTGTAGAAGGGACTGGAGTAATATAGCAAAATCCCTTGAACTCTTTGTCTGTTGTGCTATAAAACCTAGAACAATTCTTGTATTTGATACAGTTCTGGTGTCAATTACTTATGGTTTATGCATTGATATGACTACAGTCCTGAATATGATTATCATTCCTGAACGATAAAAATAAATTACAAGTAAAGGCAAAGGTTACCAATGATTTGCAAGTTCAGAAAAAACAGATGCTCACTCATTACAGGCACTCTGAATCTTCATGTTATTAATCAGGGTTTCCGTTATTTACAGGAAATAGTGTTTATGTTTGAGAACTTCCTACACTTTTGGAAAGGTTTAAAGTACAAAATATAATGGAAATCCAAGGAAAAAAACCCAACAACAAACATTCATCTGAATATTAGCTACAGGGATAAAACAAGTTGTTTTACTTGTACAATCGAAGTTTTAAAAAAAGGGCTATTTCGATTCATTTTGCATTTGGGTTCAGTTTCTAAAAATATCAAATGCAGCCATTTTGTATATTAAGTATTCTCTGTTGAAGTGTTACTCTTTTAAGTGTGAGAACTCTGTTTTTGATGTTTTCTAATTTAGGAAAATCCACATCTATTACATTCTACACTTAAATATAAATAAAATAGCAGGAAAACTCACACTAGATTGATAACTGAGTGGGGCAGTGCTGAACACAAATGCTTGTCAAGCTAGGGTGAAATAGTGTGTATTATTTTTTCAAGCCCATTTGAAAACTAGTTTGCATTGCACCATGCCTGAGTGCTCAGGTACCAGTTCCAGCTGAGCAGAGTGGGGATGCCTTCCCCAGGAATTCTCAGGGAGGGATGCACTGGCACACTCACACATCTTCTTTACATTAACATGCAGGAACAGCCCCAGGTAATGCAGTATTTTGGATATGTTATGTTGTCCCTAGACACTAACATCTATAGAAGGATTTCATTGTTCATTATACATTGATACTTGATGGATAACATTGATAATGTGCTGAGATATTAGCTCAGTGGCTCAGCAGAGATGGAAGGCACTTGATACTACTATCAGTATGTGCTGAAATAGTTCTGAATAATTAATTTCATTCTGAAGTAGTATTTAATGTTACCATTCCTAAAGGAGGTTTCCAGTCAGACATTTGGCACTATTACTGTTTCAGTTTCAATTTGAGATAATCTTTGGGGTTAAATACTGAAATAGAGGGTATTATCTCAATGCTTTAAATAAAAACCTTCCATAGTTAAATCAGTTCTTAAAAAAAAAAGCCAAAACAGCACACTAAACAGTTGCTGAGTCATTGTTACATCAGTTACTATTAAAATCATTGTATTTGTTTGTTAGTCCTCACCTGAACATGTTTTGCTTTAGGAACCCCTGTTCCACAGAAAGCCTATCTTCCTTCCAGATGTAGCTTAAGAAAGTTTTTGTTGTACAGCTGAGCCAAAAGGCCCCACATAACAGTACTTTTGCACAGTCGTCCTCTGAGATGGGTGAGTGAGAAGAGAAAAAGGCAGTCAGCTGTTCTGTACTGAAATGTAACCAAGATGTTTCAGGGAAAAAGAGCATCCCCACTGTATGGACAGAGCAATGTATTTCTTCCTGATCACTTCTCTGCTTATAGCCAGTAAGAATAATGACAGGCTGGACTAATTGCATTATTGGATAGACATTTAGTCTTTTAAATCCAAAGCAGTAGCAACCTGTCTGGAGATGTGCTGAGGTAAGAGGCCATCTAGAAGGATGTAAGTAACTATTAAAGAATGAATAAGAAAAACAATGTAGCTTTGCTCTAGGAAAAGTAATGTGTGGTGAGGTTGGATTAAAGGAGAAGCTGAGAGTGGAGGTGAGATCAAGGGATTCCAGCTCCACACAGGGAACAGGACTAGGTATCCTCCAGACACTGCTACTGCCCCCTCTCTTAGGAGCTTTTCCAACTGTGAAATTGTGATGTTAATACTTCATTGCCATCTGTTCCTTTCAGTCATGTTGAGGTGATTGTCTTCTTAAGCCCTTGAAAATGAAAGCAGTTTATTAGTGCTAAGTAATACTGTTAATTGGCAAGAGAGAAAGAAGCAGCATGTGGGTTTATGAGTTGGAAATAATTCTAATCAACTCTCATGGTACCAGTTAAATATTTTAGTGGAACTTGCTGCATCAGTCTCTTGTGTCTTTCCCCTTCAGGGGACTTTAGGGTCTAGAACTGATTTCTAAATTTTATTTCTTTTCCCTCCATTCAGAACTGTGGCTCTGAAATTGAGAATCTAATGTTCTGTTCTGCTTCCTCCCAAAGCACTGTTATTTACAGAGGCCACAAGATCCAGCTGACCCTCATCAAAACAGGGGAATCTTATGTCTGTAAGCCTGTGTGCAAGCCCTGGGCTGCTCGTGTCTGCAGGTACTGCCTGGCCACAAGTACTGTGTCCTGCAAGCCCTTCATGCCTGCCGAGGAAGGCACAAGCACCCTGTGGTGCTTTCTGCTGATGCTATAATCCAGGTCATCCCACTCCCCTGCCCCTCCCCAGGAGCAATTCTACCGAGCCATGTGGTTTTAAAGGGAAAGAAATGGGTAAGCTTTGTGGGTGATGTGGATTAGTTTTGTTCCTTTTCTTGTTCAGAAAGCAAATTGAAGACAACAGTTGTGCCCCATATAAAAATGGTTGTGCTCCCTTTTCACCTCTGCCAGCTTAAACGAGCATGTCTGTTTTCTGTGGGGCAGCACCATGCCACAGGCAAAACTAGTGCAATTAAGTTGTTTCTTTCCCCTGGAACTCTTTCACCAGACTTGGCACACGTTGCTTGTGGCTTTTACTGTATCCACGAAGGGAATGGTGCATATCCTTTGCCATGGTTGCTTGGATGTCCAGCTTCCATCTTTCTCAAGCTGTAGAAGTGTTGAGCCTTGAGCTGACAGCCATCACATGTACCAAGGCCAATGTGTTCAGATAGCAGAGTACTAAGCTGCAGCTTGTAAGTCTTTGGGAGCATTAATCCTTTCAGATATGTGACCTAAACAGATGTCATCTGTCTTATTATCAGGCTTTCAGTATACTACAGGCTATGCCACTCAGATGGTATGCAAAGGAAGCTTAGAAAGCAAGGAAACGATGCTGCAGCCTTCCATCCCCTTCCAGCCACCTCCTGCATGCCTACAGGCATTAAAGGCAACTCCAGTAACAATGGTATCACAGGTGTGATGAAGCGGAGATTTTGTCCCCCGGGGTGTTAAAGGTAGTAGGATTTAAGGAATGTGGGTCAGGCGCTCCCGTGCACTCCTGCTGGCCAGGATTACATCTCCGAGCTCCACCTGGCGCTCAGCGCCGGCGCACAGCTCCGCAGGACAGACCCGCTCTTCCTCTCCCGCATCTTCTGGTCCCTGCTCACCTCCGACAAATTTTACTGTAAAGCAGAGATGGGGTCACAGCTTGGGGTGCAATGAATCCTGCCCAGCAGACCTGCTGACTGCTTTTTGTGGTGCCGGAAGGACACAGAACTGTCCAGCCCTGAGTGCCAGCACCTGACCTGTGCTGTACTGACCTTAAAGAAACTCCAGTGGGAGCTGGAATTTCTGGTCCTTCCCCTGACACAGACGCAACACCCTCAGTGATGACACAGGCATAAAAAGTAAGGCCTTTGCCCTCCTCTGAAGGCTTTTTGCAGGCTTGTAGGTAATTTGTTTACACTGCCTCTGGTTCTGGTTATAGTGCTAAATGATGCACTCCAGATTGGGACTGGGCAGAAATTCCTGTGTGCAGGTTATTTGAATGCTGTCTTGTATTCACATTGTCTGGAAAATCCTACAAATGCCACTGCCTCAGACAATCCAATTTTAGAAAAGCTTTTACATTGATTTAAATGCAAGATGTGATGTTCTAATTTGTTCTGTTGTAATTTCTTCCTTATTCATATAGTGATCTATGTTTTCTAAATTTTTTTTTTCTTTTCTTCAGCCTCAGTCTAACAGTAGAATAAGGAGTTAATTTACTGTCATGATACCGTAACTGCTTTCTTCAAAAGGATCTTGGGAAAAGATGAGACGAGTGTTTCTGAGAAAGCAGAAGAGGCCTGTTTCAATTGTGTGATACATGTTGTTCAACAACCTGCTCCTCCACTCAAATGAGAGCAAACCCTGGAGCTGTAATGCAGCCCTTGTGTTTCAAGTATGCAGTAGTTTTAATTTTGACTGGAATGTGTGTATATATATATACTGGGGGGGAGCTGCAAAATGTTTAGTGACCAAAATCACACTGCTGTTTTGCTACAGGCTTGATCTATATTTGTCATAGAACAACTTTTCTGAAGCAGGTTGAAGTTTTGTAAAAACAGTTTTAGCTTAGTTTAAATTGTTTATACACAGTTTACATGGCTTCTTGCCTCTAGTGTGAGTCCTTTGGTGCTGTGCCTGTTATTTTTGCATTGATAGGTTTGGGCCACAACAAGTAAGAAATTTGTTCACATCTGTGCTGTGACCCTAATTCACAAAAACAACCCATTGCTTCCAGAACTTCTGCCTTTGGCTAGGTTGTCTGGAGAAGCTACAGAAGACCTTTCTGAGAACCTATTTAAATGAAAGATAAGTGTGGAGTTAGGTATAGGCAGTACTTTTTTTCAATGTGAAGAGGGATAGAAAAATAGACAGTAAGTATAAAGTTTGCAGAAATGAGAAATCCCTAAATAGAGAGAGGAAAAAGGCTGTGTGTGGTGTGCAGGAAAAGGCCATTAAAACATCTGTTTACAGTCTATATATGAAACTGTTTGTGTGGGAGTTCAAAAACATTTCATTCCTCTCTGGCACTGAGGTAGCTCCACACAAACACAAAGATTCAAGGTGAGTAAATGCAGTGCAGAGAGCTCTGAAAGTGCCCTGCTGGGCAGTGAAGCCTTTGGACTGCAGCGCAAGTGGCAGCTGCTCTGCTCGGCTCCTTGGGCGGGCGGGGGGCTGAGGCCGCGCTGGGGCCCGGGATGGATCTGGCGCACAGCTGTGGGACCAGCGCCAGGTCACGGCCTGCCTGGAAGGGGACCAAGGACACACGTCAGAGAGGATACGTGCGAGGGAGGGTCATGCACCCGGCCTGGCAGGGACGAAGGGAAAACAGTCCCTTTCCAGAGGCAGAGCTTGAGGAAACCGGCGATTCCCGCGGGAGCCTGTGTGAGGTACCCTGACGGCTACAGTGATGACTCTTCTAG